CAAAGTTCTACAATCTTCAAACCTAGTACTTTAAGAGCTTTATTGTTTTAGGGCTAGGGGCATTGTTTCTGTTGTTTGTTTTATTGTTCTCTCAAAGGGTAGCAAGCCATTCATGTGAAACCTTACGACAGCTGCCACATCACCCTTCCCATGAGCTGCACTCTCAACCTAAAATCTTGTCTAGTTACTAGGCCTCGACATTTTGTCTCGGTAAATCGTTTTCGGGTCACGTGGTCCGAAATTAATTCATCGTGAAGGCCTGGGAAAAAAGCCATTCAGGAAGTACGCCGAACTACGCAACCTAAAACCAACGTGAAGAAAGAGGGTTCTAGGAAGTCACTGGTTTGAAATTCGAAGTCCTACTCGAACTCAATTTCGTAATCAAAGGTCCCTAACAACCTCTTGCAAACCGAGCACAAAGGCGGTACTAGGGAATATTGACCTGGGATCATGGCAGTACGGACCGCGAGTGCAGCGAGTACGGCTCGAGAAAGCCAGGATAGAAAGTAGTTTATTATATTGCACTCGGACCCTGCTTGATTCAGTTTCTACATCAGAAGTTTTCAGATCTTCGGATAATAAAATGCGCTTGGTGAATAGTCGTCTCAGTCTTTGTCCATGTTGTAAGGAGCTTACAACAGCTGGTTGAGGAGGCGGCGTCGCCATCCTCCACCTGCTATCGAAATTTGTTCCCGGTAAGTCCCGAGTTCAACTCCTCGACCGCGTTGTGTAAATATTCAGCTGGTCAGCCTCCCACCTTATGTACCATTTGAAATATTTGATTATTTATTTACAGTGTCCCCAATTAGCAAAACAGTGCTAGATACATTTGACACTTAAATAAAGTTATTTATTTTATTGTTATTATTATTATTATTATTATTATTATTATTATTATTATTATTATTAAATGTCGATCTTTTAGGTAGTTCTACGAAGAATGAGAGTATTTACACGTTTTTAATTGGAAATTTTGAATTTGCCGGCTATCGAAAGCAAAAAATGCACGGCTTAATGACAAAATCCCGACCCAAGAGAACCAATCAGAAGCTCGGATTTGCTTCAAGCCTATATATGATTTAAAAAAATATATATGGTTATTATAACTGCTTACTACGCTGGACTCCTCGACATATGCTGTTTGGCGTATGGGCTATTTCACAAATGACGACGTTTTGTACAGAAATAGTTTATTTCCAGGATCAAAAGTAGCTTCGGTCTCGTGAATACGACCAGTTAAATTTCCTCGCTATGCTATAGAGCGGTTTTCAACCGAGTGTTGTAAAACCAAAACCAAAGTAATCACTCCAGCAAATCACAAAAGACACAGATAATACAGTAAACCAATCAAAGCTCGAAGTAATTACATGCAGCTGAGGCAAAGCGCGGGAAAACGAGTGCGAGCAATTCACAATTGGTTTGGTTTGACTTCTGATTAGATGAAAAAGTGGCGCGAGTTTTTAAGCCAATCGTGTGACGTAGTTGATGCAAGACCAATTACTTTTCGACATTCAAATGAAAACCGCTCCATTCCATGTCGTGCATAACTGTAAAAATAGTTAACAATTATTAGAAACAGATACCGTTTTAATATAACACTGAACAATAATCCAAGTTAACAAAAACCATCTAGTTTAGCTCATAACCAAGTTGTTTCCTGACAACTATTGTGTCCCATTCAACGAAACACTCGTTGAAGTTTAAATACTGACCTGCACTGAGTCATTCACAAGGGTTTACCAAAAATAAATATACATGAAAAGTAAAGCAACCCAGTAAAAAAAAACCCAATAAATTAACCCTGACCATTTTAAAACATTTTCACCCTGATCAATATTTACAAATCTGAGGACTTATATTATTTTCTTCTGTATATAACTATATGACCTTTTCGACAAAACACTTGTATGATTAAGTGATCGATATAGAAAAACGATAATTACAATTTCACGGACATGCATTCTGAACTAAATTATCTGCACTGGAGAGTTAAACGAAAAAGAACGATTGCGTATGTTCTTATGCTATTGTAAGACCTTCGGGCTCCATTGAAACACATTAACCCAAGCTGGAAACAAATTAATCTGAAAATGGTTTATGATAATTTCTCCCTCAAGTAGAAAGTGAATTGTACAAAGTAGTTCATTAATGCTTTAAAAATGTTCCTAAGAAATAACTTCTCCGTAACGACTAACTGTGCAAATATCGTCTTGTATGGGCTTCCCTTGCAGCTGTAAACCCTTTGCAGACTGCGCACTCCTGAAAGCTATTTGTTATACCTCCCAACTCAAACACGTTTTCCGATTGGAGGAGAACGTGTCACGTGTTGTAGGTCAAAACTCACTAACTCCCTAGGGCGAACAAACCTTACTAACTCCCTAGGAAAACAAGAACTTGAACTTTGGACTCGCACGTGATCAGGTCGTGCTCCTTGAAACGGCGGCAAATTTGTGAGCCAGCCGGCGTCAATCAAACGATTTCTTCGCAGTTTTTTTCTATTTTTGAGTTGGGAGGTATAACAAAACACTTAATGTTCCCCTCGGCTTCGCCTCGGGGAACATTGAGAGTCTCGGGGAAACAAAACTCATTGTTTCCCTCGGGGTCAGTCATTAAGTGCTTAATATTATACATTTCCAAAGATTTAGAGTAGATTCTACAGAGAGGTTTAACTGAACTGATATTAACGTCTAATTCAAAGACAAGCAAGGAGTGTTAAGAACCAAAAAGCTGATGACATCGGAAACGAGGTCAAATCGATAAGAAATACAAAATTGCACGGAGACTTGTTAGGAGAACCTGTACAGTGATCGTGCAGCTGTAAGGGCAAAATTACTCTAATCTAAAATGTAAGAAGTCTTTCGCGTGAAGTGCCCTTGATTTTATCACAGGATGGCTCAAAATCCTGAAGCTTTATACGAACAAACAAACCACTGTGAGGTACCTCGACACCTGTTGGACTGCGTAGCCGGATGTAGTGAATCCCTGGTAAATACAAAACCATAACCAACGGGATTATTACTATTAGTTACTTAGCTATTGCTCTGACAATGAACTAACGTTCGTAGTAACGTAACACAGGCAAAAGCCAAAGCGAAGTCCAGATCACCACTGAGAAAAGCTATACTCCCACTCACCAGGTCTAAGACTGTCCAGAGAAATGACATTTTGAAAAAGCAGTCTGCTTTTGTTTCTGTTTAGCAGATGGACTTTGAAGTAAACAAGACACTGGAAAACACAGAAGGCAAGAAAAGTCCGTTAAGATGTTGTTCTAACTTGGTCTGGAGATCAAAACACTAGTGTGTGACCATTTAAATGAGAGCTATTGAGCAGTACTTTTATGTGGTACTGTACATCCTATTATGCTTTAGAAGTTGATTCTCACTTTTAAATCTGTGGATCAAACGCTGTGTCACTATTAAAATCAAAGCTACTGTGCAGTACTATCGTGTAGTATTGTTAGTTATGTGGCAAAAGGTGGTTCTAATGGATGTGTGACCACTCAAATTAAAGTCTTTGAGTAGCACTTCCATGTAGTTTTGTTTGTTTTCAGTTGTTTACAAATACAAAAATCTGAGATACCAATAAGCAATAGTTCGAATACTGATGATGACCTCACAGGCAAGTTATTCAACCCCAAGATATCCGTAGGTCCGTAGCTCCGTAGGTCCGTAGCTATCTGTAGCTATCCGTAAGAACCACATGCATTATGAAGAGTCATGTGCAAAGGACATGCACAGTTCGTGTCTTCTGGAATGGTCTCCCATTTCTTAATGCATTCTGATCGACCGTGTTTCAATGGTCTTCATATATTGCCCATGAAACAAGATCTCGCACCATAGGCTTGCAATGCGTGTAGAGAACTAGATATGTTTCCATACTCACCAGTTCTGGCATGATGATTTTAAAAAGATGCTTGGCATTCTCAAACTTGGGATTTAACTTGTCTAATGTAGGCTGATGACAGAGTGAAATAAAGACAAAAGTGTAAGCTACAAACCTAAGAGCACCTTTAAGATTAAAAATGCCTATTTTCATTCTTCAATAGAGGACTGCTTGTTTACTTTCCAAACTGGAGATAACACTAATAAAGCGAAGTCCAGTTTAAAGTGTGAGAGGCATGACACTGTTGTTGTGTCAGAAGCAAAGAAATTTAATTCAAGAAAAACAAAATTAGAGACCCAGTATTGCGCGCAAATGTTCTCCACGAAATAATCATTTTAGCGGAATGGAAGACAATTTCACTATGATCCAGGACGCTTTCTTTTCAACAAAAGATTCGAGTTAACATTTTCAGTGGTGAATGGAACAGCATTATCCACAATTTCCGGAAGAGAGGACAACCTCAGGAACTAAACTCAACTTTTCGAAAATCTCCTAAAAGAAACGCTGTTTCATTTGATTTTCTTCCCGGAATTTTTGTTTGAATGGTTCACATTTCGGATTTTCCGGAAACTTCCAAGGAAATTTCCGTACTGTACCACTGTTTTGAACGTTCAGGAATTTTTGGTTCAATGGACAGCGTTCTCAGGTTCACTAAAGAATAGCCTTCCCGAAGCCCGGGGGACGGGTACTCCATATAATCGCCTATGCGGTGAGGCTCCGCCCTATAAAAGGGTAGGGATTTCACAAGTCAAAAATACTTGATGTTTTTCCGTAATATTGTTCTTCGCTTTATTCAAAGGGTTTAGAAAAGGGATAGAGTATTCTTAAGTAGGTATCAGAAAGGGGTACCTTTTCTGTCAAACTGTATACAGAAAGGTAAGGGGTTGGACGTGGGGGCGGAGCCTCCTCATATAAAACCTTGTAGAGTCCTGAAGTTGACGAGTTTCAGTGAAGACGTCCGGCGAAAACGATACGAATTGCACCAAAACAGTGACTCATACCTCAGTGCTGAGTACTGCACAGTCTTCCGCGACTCCAACTGTCTCCACGTCAACACGAATTGCAAGCTGAGAGTCTTCATCAGCATGTAAATATTGCCCTGACAACACCTACAAATACAGGTTTACTTTAGTACTTATATGTAGAGAAAAATATTTTATTAAACGTAATAAACTGTAAACAGTCTCCTATTTCTGATTTATAAATTTACAGAAGCCCCCTCCTCTCATAACACCGCTCCTTTCCCAATCAAAAAGTTTGAAAACAAGCNTGATTTTCATCCCGGAATTTTTGTTTGAATGGTTCACATTTCGGATTTTCCGGAAACTTCCAAGGAAATTTCCGTACTGTACCACTGTTTTGAACGTTCAGGAATTTTTGGTTCAATGGACAGCGTTCTCAGGTTCACTAAAGAATAGCCTTCCCGAAGCCCGGGGGACGGGTACTCCATATAATCGCCTATGCGGTGAGGCTCCGCCCTATAAAAGGGTAGGGATTCCACAAGTCAAAAATACTTGATGTTTTTCCGTGATATTGTTCTTCGCTTTATTCAAAGGGTTTAGAAAAGGGATAGAGTATTCTTAAGTAGGCATGAGAAAGGGGTACCTTTTCTGTCAAACTGTATACAGAAAGGTAAGGGGTTGGCCGTGAGGGCGGAGCCTCCTCGTATATAACCTTGTGGAGTCCTGAAGTTGACGAGTTTCAGTGAAGACGTCTGGCGAAAACGATACGAATTGCACCAAAACAGTGACTCATACCTCAGTGCTGAGTACTGCACAGTCTTCTGCGACTCCAACTGTCTCCACGTCAACACGAATTGCAAGCTGAGAGTCTTCATCAGCATGTAAATATTGCCCTGACAACACCTACAAATACAGCTTTACTTTAGTACTTATATGTAGAGAACAATATTTTATTAAACGTAATAAACTGTAAACAGTCTCCTATTTCTAATCTATAAATTTACAGAAGCCCCCTCCTCTCATAACACCGCTCATTTCCCAATCAAAAAGTTTGAAAACAAGCTCTTTTCCTACCAGAGTTAAGTAAGCCTTTCACTAAGACACTAATACCTAGATGACACTGTCAATCTGTTCCTAAAACAATCTACACCTTACCTCTATTGTGAAGTAACAGGATTTTCCATTCTTCGGGCTCTCCTTGATCATTGGGTGGTAATTCGACTTTTCTGTCAAGAGTTAATAGTCCAACATGGTCAAAATCAATCACATTTCAGGGCCGTAGCCAGTAACAGGCAAACTGTGGCACTTGTGTCAGTCATGTCGTTAGTCTTTGTTGCTTTAGTTTGTTTTTTAAAGGAGAAAGTAAAACACTGCTAGCAAATATATAAACAAACAAAACAATCAACACTGCTTCAGTCACAATTTTTTCTGGCTGCAGCCCTGCATTTAAGTACACTCTAGAACTCCCATGGTATAATGTACTGCAAACGAAGGAGGTAATACTCATCTTAATCCTAAGGCTCAACAGAACCAGGTG